CGGAAAGATCGCCGGAGCCCAGCAGGTCGAGGCTGCGGGGACCGGGAGCGGCCACTGCACTCCAGTCTGGGCGACAGAGTGAGATTCCAACTCAAAAAAAAAAAAAAAAAAAAGAAATGTCTTCTGGATCTACAAAGGACACCCTGCATGTATGTTTCTTAAACACATGGCAACATGCTGTACACAGTCTTTTTGCACTGTACTTTGACCCTCTAAAGGCAAATTTTTAAGTGACACCCATATAAGACAAGGCTTGTTTAAATTAAAAGTTACTAAAGTAGTTTATTATAACTGTACATGAAATTTAAAATGTAAGAACTGCCAACCTTTTCTGGTGTCAACTTCATCAGTTCCATATTTTCCATACTGTGTCGGCGTCCCAACTTGGCTCGTGCACCTTGGAAAAAAATAACTCAAATAAACCAGGGAGCCCTTAAGAGCACAAATTCAGCATCGCTGCATTATTCAATTCTAATGTTTGATACACAAACCCATATGAAAAGGGGAAACATGTACAAAGGTATTCTTTTAAGAACAATAACTTTAGGGCCGGGCACAGTGGCTCACGCCTATAATCCAGCACTTTGGGAGGCCGAGGTGGGAGGATTGCCTGAGCCCACGTGTTCAAGACCAGCCTGGGCAACTTAGCGAGACCTCATCTCTACAACAACAACAAAAAATTAGCTGGTTGTGGTGGCGTACGTCTGTGGTCCCAGCTACTTGGAAGGCTGAGGTGGAAGGATCACCTGAGCCCAGCAGGTCAACGCTGCAGTGCCCATGAGCATGCCACTGCACTCCAGCCTGGGTGACAGAATGAGACTCCAACTCAAAAAATAATAATAATAATTACTTTCCTTACTAGATGTACAAAATTAGCCCTTACACTCCCTCTAAAATACTTTGATATAGGTTACATTTTGGTTGGAAACTAACACTGGTTACTGGCATTACCCCTCAATTTAGAAAAGGCATTTTATAATAACTGGTTTTATACTATCCACAGTCTCAAAAAAAAAACCAAATTGTGGAGTGGTTGACGTAAGTAAAAACCAAGGAAATGGCTTGAGGCCTTCAATTTTGAGAAAAGAATCAAGACGGCATCCCCAGTGCCACCTTGTTACTCTTTTCTGGTTACCCCTTTCCATTTCAAGATCTCAGGGATGATATATTCACTGCCAGTCGGAGAACCAGTCAAGTTAAAAGTAAGGCCCTCAAAACTTTTTTCAATAAATATAGAGGATTACCATAACTATTCAATCTTTTAAAAAATTTTAAGAATATTTTCCAGGTGAAAAACATTCCCAACACACCCAGTTCCCCTTGTGAAACCCCCATAACCTCCCTCTTCCTCCCTGCACTTTTATGTATTTTCATGACAAATGCATGTATCTCCAGGCAGGATGGCCTTGCGCGTTTTGACACGTTTCTCAACGGTGTCACACTGTATGTATTCTGCAGCTTGCTTGGCGTCTTCGTATTTTTGTGAGATTTGTCCAAGTTGATAAGTGTAGTTTAGTTTAATTCATTTCCATTGCCATTTTAGGATTAGGACATTATCCATTTTACTAGTGACAGATATCTAGACTGCTTCCACTGTTTTACAACAATTTTCTTATCATGGAGTTGTGGGGTACAAGTGAGGGTCTGCATGCAGGTGGAGTTGGGGCTTCAAGCTGGCCCTCTGCCCTGGTCGTGGTCCAGGCACCCTTTGTGTTGTCACGTGCCCGCACCCTCCTCCCTCCTGCCCTCCCCTGGCAGTGCCCAGTGACTGCTGACCCCCACCCTTGTGCTCATGTGACCACTGTTCGCAGCCTTCTGATGAGTTGAGAACATGATGTGCTCAGTTCTTTGTTTCTATGATCGTTCACTTGGTCCAATATTTCGCGATTACGAGCAACACTCCAGGAAGGCTTGGCACTGTCTCGACGTACGTGAGTGATCATCGGTTCCAGTTTGGACATCAGGAGTGTAACTGGGAGTGGGACTGCTGGATCATAAAGCTGGCACATCTCAGACGTCAGCAGAACGTTGCTGGGTTGTTCTTCGGAGGACACCGATTCCAGCCCATCAACACTGCATAAACGTTTACATTATCCCGCATCGTGCTGAATGCTGTGGTATTCCTGGACTTTTCCATTTTTGTCTGCTTCACAGGTTTTAAGTTATACTTCACTGTGGTTTCTGCTGATTAAATGAAGTTAAACATCTTTTCCCGTATTTATGGATTATTTGTGTACCATTCATCACTTCTGCCACTTTTTAGACGGGCTATTCATCTTGCTTTTTATTTACTGAGTTGCCAAGGCTAGAGTGCGGTGGCATGCTCACAGCCACTGCAGCCGCAACCTGCTGAGCTCAGGCAAAACTTCAGCCTCAGTCTTCCAAGTAGGTGGAACCACAAGTACATGCCACCGCGCCCAGCTAATTTTTTGATTTACTGTAGAGGCAAGGTCTTGGCAAGTTGTCGGCTGGTCTTGAACCCCTGGACTCAGGCAGTCCCCTTGCCTTTGCCTCCCAAAGTGCTGGGTTTAGAGGCATGAGCCACTGCACCAGTCTCATCTTGTTTTTAATTCATGGTTGTTCTTATACATTCTGGATATAAATCCTTTTTAATCATGCGTGTGGCAAATATTTCCTCTTAGTTTGCTTTTTACCTCTTCATGGTTTCTTTTGATGAAATAGAGTTGTTAATTTCAATGTCCACCTTTTCTTTCATAGTTTTTAGCGTCTTGAGAAATTCTCCTCCTCCTCTCTAACATCAAGAAGATATTCTCCTACATTCTCTGAGGTCGTACAGACGTGGATTGAATATGGACTTTAAAGCCAGACTAATCATGCACTTGTGATATGACCTTGGGAGATGACCTGTGATTCAGCTATCTGTAAGTAATAGCAATACCTCCCTCCTGTCTTTGACTGACGACAACAGCATCAATATCTGTAAAGGGGTCAGTCAGTGCAGGCCTCTTACGTAGCAAACATTCAGCCAGTGTTAGTCAGCATCGTCACCGTCATGCTTTCAGTCTTTGGTGTTTAAATCCTTAATTCACCTTTTTTACTTTTTTGTAGAAACAAGGTCTTCTACATTGCCCAGTCTGGTCTCGAACTCTTGGGCTTAAGCAGTCCTCCACCTCAGCCTCCCAAGGTGCAGTATTCTATATGTCCAATCGGTGGTTTTCACTTTTTCACTGTGACCCAATTTAGAAATAGATTTTGCATTGCAACCCAAAACACACACAAAAGTATAACAGTCTTCACACATCTGTTTTACACACACACACAGGTGTACATGTATTTTTAATGCTAGCTGCCACCCACGAGATTGTTTTTACAGCTCATTAATGGGTCAGACATACAGTTTACAAAATACTGCATTTGAGGAAGCCTGCTGATTGTACTGGTCAAATCTCTATTTTATTACTGGTCTCTGACTCCTAACTGACTTTTTAATCTCTCACTTATTAAGAGAGGAATGTTGACATCCCATGAGACAAATGTCAGCTAGGACAGATTCTAGAGCCACCGTGAACACCACTTCCCATTTCTACCATTTACTACGCAGACAATCCTGGGAAGTTCACCCAACTCCTCCTGCCTCCATTTTCCATCTGTAAATTAAGGATGGAAATAAAAACTCACCTCCTAGAATTAAATGAACTAAGCCACGTAAAGCACTTAGATCGGATCCCAGTACACAGCACACCCTCCGTAGACATTAGTGGTGTTGGGTTTCCAAGTCTGCCTGCCCGTTTCCGTTATTCCCTTGCTTTCATCTCCCGTTATTTCTGCAAACATTTAGCCACGGTTCCTTGATTTTCCGTATCGGTAATTCTAACATCTGAAGATCCTGATGCCCTCACTCTGTTGCTTTTTCTGTACCCAGGTTGGCTTGTTTCTTTACATATCTGGTCGTTTTTGGTTGTGAAACCCTATGGCCTGGGATCAAGGATGCCTTCCCGTCAGAAGCTCCTCGGTCCAACTTCTGCTAAGTCCCTGGAGCTCTTCCAACCCAAGCCGATGGATTGGGGTTTCTTAGACTGCAGGTGGTACACATCAGTTCCAGCCCAGTACGTAGTAGGCTTGAGTTCAGAGTCCTGGGAAGGCTCCTTATTTCCGCCCTGAGCCAACACCAGAAACAGAAAAGTTTCCTGGCAGCTCCTTCTTCCTGGACTCGGGACACGGCAAAGAGCAAAAGAGAACAAGAACCTGTGTCCTCATGGAGCCGGCACCAGCAGCAGCGGCAAGGAAGGAGGCCACAGGGGTCAGCAGGGTCCAGATCACACAGGGCCTCTGAACCGCGGTGGGCCCCGAGGATGCAGTCCCAGGTGTGATGGGAGGCCACTGAGGGTTCTGAGCACGGGAACGACATGCTCTGAGTTTTGTTGGAAAGAGTGCTCTGGCTGCCGTATCGAAAGCCAGGGTGAGGATCAAAAGTGGAAGCAAGAGAAGTACCTGGTAGGCTGCAGCTGTGGGGTGTGTTGGCAGTGTGTGCTAAGACTGGGGCAGAGGACACTGCGAGAGAGATGAGTGGTATATTATAAAGGCAGGGTTCTGACAGAGTGGATGTAGAACTGAGTGACAGAAAGGAAACCAGGCTGGCTACTCGGAGGCTGGGGCAGGAGGATTGCTTGATGCCGGAAGTTTAAGACCAGCCTGGGAAACACAGTGAGACCCCATCTCTAAAATACATAAATAATGTTCAAATAAAAGTGTAATCTCAGTATTCTAGGAGGCAAAGGTGAGGACTGCCAGGGCCTAGGGGTTTGAGACCAGCCTAGGCAACTAAGTGAGACCTCATCTCTACAACAAAGGAAAAAATTAGCTAGGCATGGTGGCGCTTGCCTGTGGTTCCAGCTACTTGGAAGGCTGAGGCAGCAGGTTGAGGCTGCAGTGGCCGTGAGCGTGCTACTGCACCCCTGCCTGGGCGACAGAGTGAGACTCCAACTCAAAAAAAAAAAAAAAAAAAAGAAATGGAACAAGGATGCCTAGGCTCATGGCCCAAACACTCAGGATAGTGAGCTGGGATAGACTATAAGAAGAACATGTTTGGGAGAAAACATTCTGGACGTGTTAAGTTTTGGATGCCAACTAGACATTGAAGCAGAAATGTTAAATGCGTGAGTCTCAAACTAAGAGAAGAATCACAGATGGAAATATGAATTGAAAATAACGAGTACAGGCCGGGCACGGTGGCTCAGCCTGTAATCCCAGCACTTTGGGAGGCCGAGGCAAGTGGGTTGCCTGAGCCTGTGGTTTTGAGACCAGTCCAGGCAACTTGGCGGGACCTCATCTCTACAATAAATCAAAAAATTAGCCAGGTGCAGTAGCACGCGTCTATAGTTCTGGTTACTTGGAAGGCTGAGGTGGAAAGATCGCCGGAGTCCAGCAGGTTGACACTGGGGTGGCCGTGAGTGTGCCACTGCACTCCAGCTTGGGCGATGGAGTGAGACTCCAACTCAAAAAAAAAAAAAAAAGGAAAGAACAAGTACACAGACGGAGTCAAGACCAAGCTGCTGGATGAGCTCACTGGGAGCTGTGCTGCCCAGTGGCCAGGGGCCACGAGTAGCTTTTGACATTTTAATTAATTAAAATTAAGTAACAGTAACAATTCACTTCCTGTTTTGCATTGGCCACACTTCAAGTGACCCACGGCCACATGTGGCTCAAGGCTTTTGATACTGGACAGCACAGGTGTGGAACATTTCTGTCATCACAGAGAGCTCTCCTGGAAGGCCTAGAGCACAGAATAGGAAGAAAAGAATAAAATCAGAAAGAAGGAAGCACAGAAAGATGAAAAAATACAGAAGAAGAAAGAGGAGAGGGAGAAGCGGTCCCAGAAACCAAGCCCTGAGCAGCACAGATTCAGAGGACAGCCGATGAAGAGGAGAGAGTCATGCAGACTGAGAGGCAGACCCTAGAGGCCAAGTCATCCCAGGGGCCAACGAAGAAAGCACGTTCAGGAGGGAAGCAATGACTGTAGGAAACAAGGCTGAAAAATCCAGGAAGCCGACATCTAAACACGTGTCAAGTCTGGAAGATGGAGGTTTGTGGTAGCCTTGGAAGTGGCTTCAGTGTCCTGGGGAGGGCAAAGCCCTTCAGGAATGAGGGGAGGAGAGAATGGGAGGTGAGGAGGTGGGCTATGAACATTGACGTTTCTTCAAGTTTTATTGGTTATAAAAGGGAACACAGGAAAAGGATTGTAGCTAGACGGGTCCCTGAAGGCAAGTGACAATGTCTACAAGATGTGAGCTCCTACGAGATAACCTATTTGAAAGTTCAACACCGGAGCACTTTTGATTCCCTCATTCAATTGCAAAGCACACAGTCACAATGTATTATTTGGCTCACACTTCAGAACGTTCACGAAACGTCTTTTGAGAGCCTTAATCAGATGACTAGCCGCAGAGTCATATTTTCCTTCTGCCTTTTAAAATATGGGGTTAGAGAAGAAAATTGAAAAGAGAAAAGCTAGATTTATCACTGACTTTCAAGTTCAAAATATTTGCCTGTCAGATTTTCCAGACTGAGAATTTCTCAGGCTCAGGAAACCCTTCGAGATACAGGGTCACATATGGATGAAACTCAAAAACGTGACTCTAAACTCGTCCCTTTTTATTTATTTGATCAAAAGTCTAATTTTTTTCACTTAGAAACAGGCATTATAGCATGTATCTCCCTGTAAAAATGTCAACTAAATCAGCATCTAAAGAAAGTTTCCTAAAGATAGGTGTTGCTGCGAAAAAAATAAAAATAAATAAATAAAGTAAGCCGGGCTCGGTGGCTCAGCCTGTAATCCCGCACCTTGGGAGGCTGAGGTGAGTGGATTGCCTGAGCCCGTGGGTTCGAGACCCGCCTGGGCAAGTTGGTGAGACCTCATCTCTACAATGAATCAAAAAATTAGCCGGGGGTGGTAGCGCGCGCCTGTAAGTCCAGCTACTTGGAAGGCTGAGGCAGAAGGATCGCTGGAGCCCAGCAGGTCGAGGCTGCGGTGGCCGGGAGCGGCCACTGCACTCCAGTCTGGGCGACAGAGTAAGACTCCAACTCAAAAATAAATAAATAAATAAATAAAGTAAAAAATAAAGTAACTTAGATTTTCTGAATTAAAAAGAGAAAATCCTAAGGGACTTCACCTTAGAAATAAAATGTGGGAGGCCAGGCTTGGTGGCTCAGCCTGTATTCCCAGCACTTTGGGAGGCCAAGGAGAGTAGATTGCCTGAGCCTGTGGGTTCGAAACCAGCCTGGGCAACTTGGTGAGACCTCATCTCTACAACAAATCAAAAAACGAGCCGGGTGTGGCAGCGTGCACCTGTAGTTCCGGCTACTTGAAAGGTTGAGGCGGAAGGATTGCCTGAGCCCAGCATGTTGACAGTTGGGTGGCTGTGAGCATGCCACTGCACTCCAGCCTGGGCAACAGAGTGAGACTCCAACTCCAAAAAAAAGAAAAAGAAAAAGTAATAAAATGTGGGGAACAAGAACGTAAACGGAAATCAAATATGTAAAACTATTTGAGATAAAAAGGATAAACAATAACATTTTAAAATTTTGGCATCTTCATATTTACAAATTTTTGAATGCACTTAGAGATAGAAAATTTAAATGAATTTTTACAAAAGAAAATAATTATACCTTCACATGTCCTAAGTTCATGATTAAAAACTTAAAAACATTGTATTCTGTACTGACAGATTAATAGAGCTGTGTAAAGCAAAAAAACTGAAAAAAGTCGAACTTTCTATGTTATTTATTGTCTCTGGATATAATAAACATATGTAACAAATAATTATAACGTAAATCTTGAGGATAAAGAAGTTGGGTTTAGAAGACCTATTACTTACCATGCAAACTGTTATCAATGTCAATATTTTCAGACATTATGGAATTGTTTGTGCTGTAGCTCAGACCAAGAACCATCTGAAGATCTGAGAGGTTCAGTCGTGCTGTGAGTTCACCACTCCTATCCCCAACCTACAACCACAAGCATTGATATTTTAGAGTAGTATTTAAAGACAAAGAGTAGTGAAGTTAGCTGAAAATGTTGTAAACCTAAAACTGGAAGAAAACATACAGAAATGAAAATAGTGATATTAGAATTCGGAGACTATGAATGAATGAAATGAGTTTTTTTTCATTAATAATTTTCTTAAAGAATAATGAAAGAAAAGAGAAGTTTCTGAAATCTTACAATAGGATAGCTGATTATACTCTATCAATTCTTTCTTGTTTCTTTTTTTTAGAGACAGGGTCTCTCTCTTTGTGGCCCAGGCTGGAGCACAGTGGCACTGATCATAGCTCACTGCACACTTGAACTCCCGGGACCAAATGATCCTCCTATGCCAGAATAATTTATTATTTTTTATAGTGACGGGGTATCACTGTTGCCCAAGCTGGTCTGGAACTCCTGGCCTCAAGCAATCCTCCACCCTGGCCTCCCAAAGTGTTGCGATTAAGGCCTAAACCACTTTGCCCAGCCCCATCTGATAATTCTTTAGTTCTCTATACAGTAGATTGCTCTCATTCTCTGGGCTCATACTAAGTAATAATGTCAGTTATCCCATGATTCATTTTTTTTTTTTTGAGTTGGGGTCTTACTCTGTCGCCCAGACTGGAGTGCAGTGGCCGCTCCCAGCCACCACAGACTCAACCTGCTGGGCTCTGGCGATCCTTCTGCCTCAGCCTGGAACTACAGGCGCGCGCTATCACGCCCGGCTCATTTTGATTTATTGTAGAGATAAGGTCTCGCCAAGTTGCCCAGGCGGGTCTTGAACCCGCGGGCTCAGGCAATCCACTCACCTCAGCCTCCCAAAGCGCGGGATTACAGGCTGAGCCACCGAGCCCGGCTCCATGACTCATTAATTCGGCATCACACAAATAAAATTCCCTTAGAATATTTTATTCCCACACTATAATAATTTATTAACATTTATTAAGCCAGTCCCAGAAATTATATGTGCTAAGCACTTTTATATACATTATCTCTAACTGTTATAACAATTTGCAAGGTGGATTGTTTTAAAAAATATTTTTAATAGAGACAAGTCCTCGCAAGTCCTTGCCCAGTTGGGGTTCAACCTCCTAGGCTCAAGCAATCCTCCCACCTCAGCCTCCTAAAGTGCTGAGAGCCACCACACCTGGCTTAGATAATATTATTCCCATTTTGCAGATAAGAGAAATGCTCAGGAAAGGTTTCCAAGCTCAAATAGTCAGCAAGTGTCAGAACTGTCACAGGAACTGATCCTTGATTCTAAAAACCAGGTTTTTCCTTCAACACCATGCTACTTCTCCGTACAGAGATGGGGGTGGAGTGGGGGCGTGTTTTGGTAAAGTCCTTCCATTCCCCATGCCCACCCACACCTTCCTGTCTTCCCACATCCAGGCCAACACAAGCATAACTGGGACAGCATCTCAAAATGCTCTGTGGCCTTCTTATGCCAAGAGAACAACAGAATCAAACAGATTCTTCAGCCATATGAGGAATCTGGCAGAATCAGTGTTCCCTCCCCCCACTGCTAATTTGTAAATTACGATAGCACAGATAGCAATGTTTTCAGTTCCATACCTCTCTTGAAATTTCCAAGTGCTTTTCAGCAAAATGCATCGCTTGATCATGATTTCCTAGAGCTGTGTATGCATTTCCTAAGCTCCAGCATGCTCTTCCTTCACCAATTCTACAACGTAATTCAAAGCTAAGATGCAGTTATCTGAAAAGAGGTCCGTGTGCAGAATAAAAGCCATCTTGCAGTAACTAAAGATATAAACACCGCTTTGGATTGACTTGGTCTTTCATATAAGGAACATACTGTCATGATACTAAAGCAATATTAAAATCCCCAGATAATACTAAACTCAGAGTCAAGGACTAAAACATAGCAAACATCCTCTTAAAATATGCAATGCATTATAAAATAATAAAATCTCAGGGATAGGTCTTCTAGTCCTTTCTGTAACAGCACTACTGGGTAATCAATCATTCAGTTGTGTCTGAACAGCAGGGAGAAAGAACCTACTGCCTCTTAAGGTCAGTGACCGTAACAAAAAGTTCCTTCTCATACTGAGGTAAAAAGCTGCCTTCTAAAGCAAACACTGTGGACTAAACACTGTGGACTAAAGAGATATGCTGTTTCTTCATACAGTAAAACAAAACAATGGAATTGGCCCCCAAAACTTAAAAGTCAGATTTCATATGAAACTCAGGACTTCCAGCTCCTCTTGAAAAAACAGGAACTGGACATCATGAATCCTGGTTCCTGCACCAACAATGAGCTGCAGTTGGGCACCACTGCCCTTGACACTAGGCATTCTCTGACTCACCACGCTTCCTCACTAATGCAGGCAGGGGGACCTTTGCAGAGGTAGCTGAGCTTGTGATCCAGTTAATGATCTTGGCTCAAGGGCATACGGAACCAGTCCAATCCTCTATCACAGACTAGCACTGAACTTCAAACAATACACAGAGGATAGTACTGGAACAGGAAACTCCTTAGCAGGGAACTTTAAAAAAGCAAAAGAGATGGAAGGAAAGAAACAGAGGAAACATTCTAGGGCTTCGACCACGCACCTGTATCTCCCCTCAGCTCCGGTGAGAAAGGGGACACTCACCTGTCGCTGAGCTCCTGTGCAATTGCCAAGTGCTTCAGGTGGTAGTCAATGGCCTTTTCATAGTCCTGGAGCAGAGTGTGCGTGTTGCCCAGACTATAGCAAGCCTGTGCTTCCACAGCCCGGTCCTTAAGCTGTCGAGCCAAGAGTAGTGTCTTCCTGCAAGAAGAAGGGAATTCTTACATTTCAGTTTGGGCTACAATAATCAGAAAACAAAACACTCTGCTTTCTGTTGCCTTTAACTCTAGCTTAGAGCCTCACACCTCATACTTTCTCCATGATTTTTCGTGAAACACAAGAAGCAGATTCAGAGTTTTGGAATAAATTTCAGAGTCCTACCCATTCACCACAGTAAAGGAATATTGAATATGAGATAAAGTGCTTCTAAAAACTGACTTTAAAAAAAAAAAAATCACAGTCTCACTCTTTCACCCAGGCTGGAGTGCAGTGGCACCATCACAGCTCATTGAAGCATCGACCTCCTGGGCTCAGGAGATCCTCCCACCTCAGTCTCCTGAGTAGTTACGACTATAAGCACATACCACCATGCCCGGCTTATTCTTTTTTATATATATATATAATTTTTGCAAACACAAGGTCTCACTATGTTGCCTAGGCTGGTCTTGAACTCCTGGGCTCCAGCAATCCTCCCACTTTGGCCTCCCAAAGTGCTGGGATTATAGGATGAGCCACTGTGTCTGGCTGACATAATATTTTTAACATTTAAAAAATTTTCTCAGCCGGGCTCAGCCTGTAATCCCGCGCCTTGGCAGGCTGAGGTGAGTAGATTGCCTGAGCCTGCGGGTTCGAGACCCGCCTGGGCAGGCGAGACCTCATCTCTACAATAAGTCAAAAAATCAGCCGGGCGTGGTAGCGCGCGCCTGTAGTTCCAGCTACTCTGGAAGCTGAGGAGGAAGGATCACCGGAGCCCAGCAGGTCAAGGCTGCAGTGGCCAGGAGCGTGCCACTGCACTCCAGTCTGGGCGATAGAGTGAGACTCCAACTCAAAAAAAAACCTTTCTCTTTTGTATTAGCAAGAACTTAAAGAGGCTTTAGTCCACATAACCTGTTTTCAATCATATTGTTGCCTTAACATTGTCAAAATTTGAAATACTTAGGTAAAATTCTTATGTGTGGGCCAGTAGTCACCAATTCATGAAAAATACTGAATATTGCATGTAAACATTATCCAAATTCTACCTAATACACGTGGAATTGCAAGAAGTGAGAGTAGACTTAACAGCATGAATCCTAGGGCTGGACAGTTTGGATTCAAATCCCAGCTTTGTCAACTGCTAGCCATGTGATCAGGGTAAAGTCACTCAGCCGCTCTGCGCACCAGTTTCCTCACGTATAAGATGGGGGAAATACCTCACAGGGTTGATGCGGAGAACGGGTCAGTAGATATCTAAAGTGCTCAGAACGGCATCTTGTGCAGAGTGCATGCTACATAAATGTAACAGCTATCTTATTATTATCAGTGCTTTAAATCTACAGTCATATTAGGATCCAATAACTTGACTCCTTCCCATCACTTCTGCCAAATAGTATAAGCACTTCATATCATTTATAATTGTATGAGCAATGACTACAAGGTATTGTGATAGAATTTTTTTTCCTTTTGAGTTGGAGTCTCACTCCATTGCCCAGGCTGGAGTGCAGTGGCATGCTCACAGTCACTGCAGCCTCGACCTTCTGGGCTCATGCGATCCTTTCACCTCAGCCTTCCAAGTAGTTAGAACCACAGGCGCACGCCACCATGCCTGACTAAATTTTTGATTTATTGTAGAGATGAGGTCTTGCCAAACTGCCCAGGCTGGGTCTCGAACCTCTGAGCTCAAGCAATCCTCTTGCCTTGGCCTCCCTAAGTGCTGGGATTACAGGCTTGGGTCACTGCGCCTGGCCAGTGATAGAATTTTTTAAGCAAACAAATCTGGAATTGCATATTTAACAATAATACCTTCAAAGCCATCATCCTGGGAGGTGATGTACTCACTCTAATGCTGCCTGTCCTCCCAAACATTTGTGAATACTTTTAGAACTGGCTTCAGATCCTGGGGCCTGAGCCTTTGGGCACACCATTCATCTTTGATGGGATAGTTGGCTTGTAAATGATCAGAAATCTCTCTGGAGCCACATTCAATGACTAAAACAGGTTTACCAACTGTTGCTTTGTATCCTGAAGGATATAGATCTACAAAGTCATGCTAGCCTGACCTTATCATACAGCCCTGAAAACAGTTCCAACGTTCCATATATATATATATATGTTCCATATATATATATATATATATATATATATATATATATATATTTTTTTTTTTTTTTTTTTTTTTTTTAAATAAGGTCTCTGTCACCCAGGCTGGAGTGTAATGGTGCGATCATAACTCATTGCAGCCTCCA